GATGTGACCTTTGATGTGACTTTTGATGTGACCTTGGATGGGACCTATGATGTGACCTTTGATTTGACCTTTGATGTGACCTTTGATGTCTTTGATGTGACCTTTGATCTGACCTTTGATTTCTTTGATGTGACCTTGGATGTGACCTTTGATGTCTTTGATGTGACTTTTGATGTGACCTTTGATGTCTTTGATGTGACTTTTGATGTGACCTTTGATGTCTTTGATGTGACTTTTGATGTGACCTTGGATGGGACCTATGATGTGACCTTTGATTTGACCTTTGATGTGACCTTTGATGTCTTTGATGTGACCTTTGATTTCTTTGATGTGACCTTGGATGTGACCTTTGATGTCTTTGATGTGACTTTTGATGTGACCTTTGATGTCTTTGATGTGACTTGGATGTGACCTTTGATGTCTTTGATGTGACTTTTGATGTGACCTTTGATTTATTTGATGTGACTTTTGATGTGACCTTGGATGTGACCTTTGATTCCTTTGATGTGACTTTTGATGTGACCTTGGATGTGACCTTTGATGTGACCTTTGATTTGACCTTTGATGTGACCTTTGATGTCTTTGATTTGACCTTTGATGTGACCTTTGATGTCTTTGATGTGACCTTGGATGTGACCTTTGATGTGACCTTGGATGTGACCTTTGATCTGATCTTTGATGTGACCTTGGATGTGACCTTTGATCTGATCTTTGATGTGACCTTGGATGTGACCTTGCAGGATCAAGGCAGAGGACTTGATGGATGTCGGGGTAATCATGCTGTTTTACGGACTCTACTATGGCGTCATGGGCCGAGACTTTGCTGAAATCTGCTCTGACTACATGGCCTCTACAATCGGGGTAATAACACTAAGAGCATCTTCTCATTGTGACGCTACAGGTCCAGCTTGGATAACAGTGTGTTTGATTTCAGTACTACAACAAGGGAGGCATGCCCAGCCGGAGTCTGAACGACGACATCTGTGCCGTGTGCGGTCAGAGGATCCTGGTGGACGTGGACGAGGAAGGATTCATAGAAGACACTTTCCAGCTCTCCTGTGGACACATGTATCCTGAGATCATGAAATAAAGGCTGCTCTTTTTATGATATTTTCAGTATCTCTGCCTTAACTCACCCCTCCCCCCCCCCCCTTCAGATTCCACGAGTTCTGCATCCGCGGCTGGTGCATCGTGGGTAAGAAGCAAACGTGTCCGTACTGCAATGAAAAGGTCGATATGAAGACGATGATGAACAACCCGTATCCTTCCCCGTGTGTTTTACCAAATGATGTTACGTGTGATTTCCTCTTTGAACTCTTAGGGACTCCTTTAAAGCAATGTAGCGGTGCAAACCGCCGTGACCTCCGTGACCTCTGTGACTTCAGTGACCTCCATGACCTCCGTGTCTTTAATCCTCACAACAAAGCAGCTTCTTATAAAACGATGAAAACAATCAATCCCTCCTGCTGGTGATTAGAAAGAAGTTTAAGCCCCTCAGTCATTGGTTATTACTTCGTCTTGCTTCCTGTCTGTGATTGGTCCCTAAGCCCCTCAGTCATTGGTTATTTTGCGTCGTCTTGCTTCCTGTCTGTGATTGGTCCCTAAGCCCCTCAGTCATTGGTTATTACGTCGTCTTGCTTCCTGTCTGTGATTGGTCCCTAAGCCCCTCAGTCATTGGTTATTTTGCGTCGTCTTGCTTCCTGTCTGTGATTGGTCCCTAAGCCCCTCAGTCATTGGTTATTTTACGTCGTCTTGCTTCCTGTCTGTGATTGGTCCCTAAGCCCCTCAGTCATTGGTTATTACGACGTCTTACTTCCTGTCTGTGATTGGTCTGGACACTGGACGCCGCCTCTCTCATGCATCTGAGAACGCTCCTTAATTCCTTCATCTTCACACAGCTGGGAGAAGACACACGTCCTCTACGGGCAGCTGCTGGATTGGCTCAGATACCTTGTTGCCTGGCAACCCGTCATCATTGGTGTTGTTCACGGGATCAACTTCACCCTGGGCCTGGAATAGAGCCCTGAGGAACCTCACTGTAGCTGGAACGAGGTAGAATCCTGAAAAGTGCCATAAATCCGTTGGCAGAGCGCCAAAGTGAACACTACCAGGACGTGAAGTCTCTGGTATTCTCATGTTGTAGCGTGCAGAGGACGCCATGACGCCTGAAGTGCTGCTAACTGTTACACATTCAGGCACAGAATCAGTATGTGATCGTTTCTAAACATCAAACACAGATACAAATACTTAATGCTGACATCATGCCTGTTGTTTTTATTTAGTCACTGCTTTACTTTAAAACTGTTTCAGCAGAATGCCTTTTAAGTTTCTCTCCTTAGAGAGGTTTTCGAAAGTGTTTCTGAAAGACTTGATCTGCAGATCTCTTTTTTACAAAAAGGACGATTCTATCCAAACGTTACAGAACAAGTTTACATTTTGTTTTTCTCATGACAAGAGTCATACGGATGTCTCTATCAGGTTTAAGATTGTGATTAGTCAGCAGATTGTTGGATTCCTGATTTGTTTGGATTTTAAATTACACATTTTCTGAAGCTTGAGACAAATAGGAAAACAACTGTTTTCTCTGACATGTAGCAGTATGTTGTAGCATGGAGGGGAACATCATCCGGGTATCACTCAAACAGGAAGGAAACTCTCAATGTGTTGCTTTTGTTTAAAGACTGCTGCTTTACTTCGTATTTATTAAATACTTTAAAAACTCTGCACTTTGTCAGGAAATGAATTCATACCAGTGCTCCCAGCTTCTTTCAAATACTGGCTGTTTGGTTTTATTGATCAAAGAAAGCGTTGACGAGCTCAGACAAAAACACTCAAAAACACAAGCGGAGCAAAACAACACAGTAAAGTGTTGAATAATAAAGAAAAACAGAAGCTGAATGTTTCATACTCTGCTGTGATTTCATTGGTCATCGTCGTTGGTTCAGCGTGAGAGAGAAACAGTTTCCATATTTACAAATGTCACTAATCTGATGCCAAGCTGAAGCCATGAATACAAAGAATAGTTCCTGCTGTTTGCAGTTTCTCCTCGTGAGGTCATTAATATAAACGCTGTGATTTAAACAAGGAAATATTGATCAGATTGCATTAGAAGAATATTTTTATGTTAGTAGCTCTACTTTTTACACGAGAGGGAAAACGTCCATATCATTTTCCTAACAACACTTCATTTTTATTTTGTAACTGGTTTAATTTTCCACTCATACTTAACGTCTTGATTGTCTCGTGTGACCTCTTGTGCTCCCTCTCTCCCTCATCATGTTCTCTTTCCTCTCAGTCATCTTCCATTCTTAAAGCCTCGCGTAGATTCTTCCAGAACTCCCCACTCCTCTCCTCCTCCTGAGGCCACTCCAGGTAGGTGGTGGAGCTCATGAGTTTACGTAGTTTGCAGAAGCGTTTGGGGATGTCGTCCTTGGACAGTGGTTCCAACAGGATCAAGATGGCCGCCTCTCCGCCAGCATTCCCATCAAAGAGCCAGAAGTGGGAGAAGTCCAGCTCGTAGCGGCACCAGTCTGACTCGACAAAGTTCTGAGAAAGGATGAAGATGGTCCGCCGGCTGCGCTCCATTGCACTCATGATGTTGTCCATAATCCAATACCCCGGGAGAAAGTCCCGCTTGTGGAGGCACAGGGTCAGAGACCGGGGGCTTCTGGGATTTGAGGAGTCTTCAGCATTCTCTCTGAAGTGTAAACCAAAAGGCAGGTTATGGTTGCACCTTGAGAAAAAAACTTTGACATCATACATGCATGCAGGGCTGTCTCAAGCCATACTGGCACCCTGCCCCCCCCGACATCTCATCATCACCTGAGAAAAATTTAATTATTCTCCGTCATGTTAGAAAAGCAGAGTTTTCTTCAACAAAGAAATCGGGTCCATGACGGCAAAACAAGACCTCAGTGGGGGGTCTGTGGGGATTTTAAAACCTCTATTTTGCACTGTCGGCCCCTTATTTACACTTAAATACATGTTTTTACACACAGTAGTCTGTCATTTCTGTAGGTCAAGTCATGGCACAAGTGTGTGGTTCTGTGATCGCCTAATCTGACAATGTGACCATCGTAACAAAAAGATCTTGTAGTCAGCATTACAAGTTCAAGGTGTTGACTTGGCCTCCAAATTCCCCAGATGACAATCCAATCGAGCAACCAAGTCCGATCCATGGAGGCCTCACCCTCTCAATTTAGAGGATTTGATAGACCTCCTGCTAACATCTTGGTGCCCCATACCACAGCACACCTTCAGAGGTCTAAAGGAGTCCATGTCTGTAAGGTCTGGACTGACAGAGTCACAATATAAGGCAGGTGGTCATGATGTTTGCCTAGTAAGTTTGAAATGAAACAAAAATTCAGACGTTACCTTGGTTCCTCCAGTTCAGGTACCAAGAAGTTTTCCACCCAGCTAGCGTCCCTCTCACTGTAGGACACAAAGGCGTCAAACGACAGCAATGCTTCAGCACCCGTTCTATCTCTTTTTTCGCCGCCTTTTAGAGCTACGCTTGGCCTTAATCCACGCCCAAGTCATCTTGAGGTACCAGAACGCATGGAGGCGCCAGAGCAGGATACACAACAGAAGGGCAACACACAGCGCCACACCACAGATCACAGACACAAACAAAACTTGATGGCACTCAACAATGGAGAGGCTGACTTGACCAACTGGTTCCCCCTGCAGGTACAGAGGAGAGTCGCAGATGTAGCTCTCCGTCCTATCTGTTATATGAACATCTCCAGCTCCTTTAAAAGCAGACTGAAGGAAGTCTACAAAGTCACAGGAGCAGACAAATTTGTTCTGCCCCACCTGGAGGCTTTGGAGTCGTCTGTAAGACTGCAGGTCTGAATTCCCAAACATGTTCAGGGTGTTTGACTGGAAAAAACAAGGAAGGGTTTCACTCTTAGATCACAAAACGGTTGGAAGAAGAAATTCGAGATGTGTTTGTTCCTAACCTGTATTGTCAGTGTTTGCAGATTAGGGAACTGCCATCCTTGGGGCAGACTCAGAAACTTGTTCCCAGACAGATGGAGCTCCCTCAGGACAGGTAGGAACAGAAAGAAGCTTTTGAGACCATTGTTGCTCAGATCTAACACCTGTACAAAAAGATGTAAAATATGAACATTTATCGTTTGTAGTTGTGATGATAGCTGTCAGAAATCTGTCTGGATTACTGCTACATGCTCCACTCTTACCTCCAGAGTTGTGGGGGAGACAGCTGGTGATGGTTGTAAGTTTAGCCCCAGACATGTTAAGGTACCGCAGGGTGCGGGGCCAGGAGCAGTCCTGGGGCATGGAGCTGTATCCGTTCCTGCTGATGTCAAGGTGGGTCAGTTTGGAGAGCTTAGCTACCAGTCGGTTTATCGTGGACACAGACTAGACAGCAGAGGGACAGAACAAGACAAGTCTTTAGGTTGCAGGTAACTTATTATTTAAACTTGCGTAGTACACAACACTTCATGAAACAGTAGTGTTTTCATTGCCATAGATGCCATAGAGGAAAAAATTCTTAATGAATTAATCAAGGGACATTGCAGAGGTGAACTTGGTGGTTAGGAGTTTTTATTTTTTATATCACAATAATGACGTTATATTCGTTTAGGCGTTTAAGTGACGTCCACCGCAGAGACAAACAAGTCTTCAGATAGCAGATCATTTGTTCTGACAACCTCAGAACGTATCTTTAGAGCTAAAATGGACATTTCTCATTAAGGGTCACTTCATGGATTTCATGGATCAGTTTACTTATTTACGTATTTCTAAAAGATACCAAGTCGTGACCAAGAGAGGAGGTAGAATCGCAACTGTGACAAGACAAAGACTGGAGGAGTTTTTGTGAAGGCACCTTCAGAATGTTTCCACTGATGTTTAAAACTCGCAGGTCCTTTTGGGTGCCATCCCCATTGCATAGCATCTCCGTCACAGTTAGGTCAGTAAGAAGGTTGTTAGACAGGTCCAGGTACTGCATGTTCACAAGCAGGTGGGCCGTGGGGCAGGGTATCACAAATACCTGAAGGTAAAAGGTAGCATTTGTTTATAAACCTGTGACAGTTGTGAAAACTATAAAACAACCTTTACACGCTAGAAGTTTGCAAAGTGACAGGGCATCACAAACACCAAAGACAGGTGTGGAAAAGGTAGAAGACATGAGCAGTGGATGATGCAAGGCAAGGTCGTTACTGCTACAGGTTGGCAAGTTGCCATGGTTAACTTGTGACATGGCAGCTAGCTGATTATGTTTTAGTTAATTAGCCACAATCTGTTGATACAGTAAATATTAATGGATGAAGCCCAAGTGACATGGCCCTGGTTTTTTAAGGGCTGTTTTTGGATGACTTTCCATAGCGGTCACCATATTGGAAACGTTAACAAACTTTCGGTCAACATAACGACAGGCGAAGAGCTGGAGCTGAGGCGCCTTAAGCCTCCTGACAGACTGCGACTATGCGGCAGCTTGCAGTCGAGTCCCTCACTCCCAAAATGCACAACTCGTCTCCTTCATAAAAACAGGTTGGTTTAAAAAGAATGAACGTCCTGCACGGTGTGTGCCGATAAAGACTTTAACTATTACCAAACCCGTACCAGGCTGTAAGCATGTTAATTTCTGCTTTAAAAGTAACTTTTAATTATGGGCTGTGTATGTGACTTCCGGGTCTCTTGGAGCCAGCCCAAGTGGCCCCTCCATAACTGAGGATGTTATCATGGTCTCTCAGTAGAACAATAACCTTACTAATGTGGTTTCAGTTACCGTAAAGGTCTGGGAAACACACAAACACACACATTAAACATACTGTGACAGTCCTTGTTCCTTACCTGAGAATGTATGACAGACACCTTCCTTGGGTAGTGCAGCAGAAACCGGTGCTGCAACAACGAGACAAACTTGAAGACATCCAGCACCACAAGGTTTTGTAGAAAGAACTCGTCGATGCCTCTATGGTCTGTCCAACTGGCTCGCTCCCACCTCACAGTGCAAGAAAAACAAACATGTAGTTCCTTCACTCAACACTTTGCTTCTGAATTAGTGCTCACAAACTGTCACCATATTTGAAGCTTGCCATTTTTTGGCAAAACGTGCTAAAGAGATAACAAATAGCAATGAAATCTCAAAGTGAGTAACACAGGGTTTGACCGATCATGCTGATGTTCTGGTTTCCTACCTGCCCTCGCCTGTCAGTGTGAGGTCCTCAATTGAAATAAAGGTTAGCGGCACGCCATCTATCACAACTAGTAAGTCAACTACGGCCTCATCTGACATGTTCAGGTTTCGGAGAGTAAGGCTCCTGAGTGTGACATTGACAGGAACAGGCTGGTTAGTTTTTTCACTGTGTGGTATTTTGCATTGTTGTAGCAACATTATGAAGACATTTGGTTTGGTGCGCTTTGGTGCCCAGCGAAGGTCTCTGAGTTCTATTGCATTGTCTATTGCAGGAAAAAAGTCAACTATATGCCTTGACTAGAGGTAAAGAAGTATGTTTTACTCAGAAACTTAAAGGACACCATGCAGGTGCAGATACAGGACTTAAGGGAGACCTAGACCTGATCCTCCTCTTGGCTGTCTCTTTGAAGGGCTGCAAGGACTCATTCCCAACCAGATGGAGGTCCTCCAGAACAAGAGGTGTGTTTGGGTATGATACATCAGCGAGCACAGCTGAAGCTAAGGCTGTGTTGTTTAGAAATGGTTCATGGAGCCTCAAAGTGACACGACCTAGTGGCCACATCGCTGCTAGAGCCCCAGACTCGTACCTGGAGTGGATGAAAGAAACAAGAGGGGGTCAAGGAAAGAGGGAACTCATTCAACACAACGGATCAAATTTAGTTTAATGGTCCAGTGGAAGCTAATGGCCTTGAGCAACAGCAAAGGGAATTTTCAAAAAGTATTGGAAGACATGTTATTGGTTTGGTCTTTCTAATTCTAATTTGACATTCCTAAAATAAAAGATTGTTTTAATTGCCTTTTCATACTTCATGCTGGTTCATTAAATATCATTAAGACATCAAACGGTTATGAAGACGAACAAATGTCAAATGAAAACTTTGCCTTGTGATGTCCCTTGGCTTTCAAGCAACAACACAAAAACATTGTCTGTATTACACCTTTCAAGGTTGTTGGCATGTATAGTGAGCTCCTCGAGCTCTGTGACCCCTGACAGATCTCCTCTCCTCAGTTCCACCAGAGCAGGACCTCCAAAGTCCAGCCTCCTCAGCCTGACCAGGCTCTGGAACGCCGGAGGAGACCCCAGGCAGCTAGAGAAGAGGAAGTGAGAGAATATGTGTGAGTAGAAGTATCTAGATACTTAGTCCTATGTGATGAGGAGGATACTGTTCTCTCTCTTTACGGTCACCTACCTGTACGGGTTGTCGAGCAGGTTGAGCTGCTGCAGAGCTCCTAGCTTGGTGAACCATTTGTGGTTGATATCTGTCAGTCGATTGTCGGACAGATCGAGCTTCTCCAGGCTCCAAAGAGAATCAAACGCTGACAGATGGATCACAGCTAGTCTGTTACCTGGAGGAAAGTAATATCGTCATATAAGATTATTCTAAATATTCTAAATATGAATCATGTGGTGGCGCCACCTAATGGGACACATTTTAAAAATGGCACCATGAAAACGATGCTAAGTGTAGAAGAAGAAAACCTCCCAAACACTTGTTTGAGGATGTTTGACACAGTCAGGGTGGACTTGTTTGGATTCAGGACTCAAGGTTTTAGATGTAACCTGAACTTTAAATATGAATGTCAATGGATAAAAAAAAACCTTTGACATGTAAATATCAGACAGAAGGACGTAAAGCTCTCAGCTCATCCCAATGAAAAGTGTTGAAGTACTCTGTAAAAAGAACTTCTGACATGATATATAAACATTAGCCTTTTTAAAGTCCGATCAGCATTACCATGAAGACTCAGAGCCCTCAGTGACATGTGGCTGCTCAGATCATCAGCCCACACCTCCGTGATGTTATTGAAGGAAAGATCTAGAGACAAGGCTCGTTCTGGTACCAAAGGAACGTGGATGAATCCACCATAGGAGCAGTTACAGGAGAGCTGCAGGTCACAGTGACCACACCTCTTCCTGTCGGTGTCTGACCTCTGAGCGCAGCCGAGGGAGAGCAGGAGGACTAGAAGGGTGAGATAGGTGTTGGCCGACTGTCCCATACTGCAAAGGCAAGAAGACAGCTTTAGATCATTATCTGTCTTTATCAGATAGAACAGCTGAAGAGAAATGTCGGGAGGAGAGAGAAGGGGATGACAGGCAGCGAAGGACTGAGGTTAAAGGTGAGTTTCACTAACGGTGTCAAATGTTTTATGGTGTGACGGCTGCTGTTGAACAGAGAAACAAACTCAAAGTGTTTGATTTTGTCAGAGAGCATGAAGTGAAGGTTGCTGGTCTTACCCGTTTGTCGCTGGTTCACACAGAGAACGTGTTCAAACCCTAACCCTGAATGATATTCTCTGTATGACCAACAGGGTACCACAACTGAGAGCCAACACAGGGAGTCTGGGTTAGTCTAACCCTAACCCAGTAATGGCTCCAGTTTTTGAGTTTGTATCACAACTTGTATAAAGACATTTGTACATCACAACAACTACAACAGTAGAAAACAATACGGACAACTGAGGTGAGCAGGAAAGAATACAGAGCACAAAATCTCAGGTCCAACTGAAAAACATTTTAGCCTCTCAGAGAGCATGAAGTTAAGGTTGCTGGTCTTACCCGTTTGTCGCTGAGCTGATTCAAGGCAACGAGAGGGGAACTCTGTAAAGATCAGAAAGATTGAACATCTCTTTCTAACTGAACAGGAAACTCGAGTCGACAGCTGTCATAAAACAAAGTGAAAAGAGGTAGTGAGCATGAAAATGTACTTTCCACAGGAAATCTGTGCAAGTTATGGTCTGTGACGTTCACACAGAGAACATGTTCAAACCCTAACCCTGAATGATATTCTCTGTATGACCAACAGGGTACCATATGTTATTTAAATCTGTATATTTACTGAAGGAGCAGCTCGATGCTTCGCTTCCTCTTTATGTTCACAAACAGCAAGGCTTTCACTCAGGCTCTAAACATCACTTCCTCTTATGATGCATTCAGGTGCTGCTCTGGTGCTCCAAGTCTCAGAGTTGGGAAGTCATTCTTTCGACGAAATCGTGTGATTTCAGTTCGCAAAGTCTGAATGTGTTCATGTGCATTTTACAAACTGCTTGTCCTAAACGCGGTGAGTCTATGAGCGTGGCGTTTGGGATCGAGCCCTCATGAGGTGATGTTCAGCGTGGTTGTTGACAAAGAAGGCGTTCGCTCTAAAGCTTTGTAAACTGGGAGTCGCCTTTGATCCTTCGTTACCAGTCGACAGCCATGTTGCAGCTAATGAGATCATGCTTTGACCACTGAAGCAACGTCAGTAAAATGACCTTACATGTCTCATATTGACGAGTGTAACGCTCTTTTCACCTCACTCAGCCTGGCCGCCCTAAACCTTCTCCAGTCCAGAATGCTGCTGGCGTCCTCACCGGGTCAAACAAACGGTCTCGCTTCACTCGCTCTCTCTCACACAGAATATCTGTCAGATTCACATCTCACCTGCTGTCCGTCTCACAGACAGATTTTAAGACTTGTGGTGATCGTGCGTTTGAGGCTATAGCACCAATCCCCGCCCATCTCATTGCGTTCTTCTGACTGTTGAGTTTTTAAACAGTAGCTTAAAACGTGAGCCAGGCTGGTGGGTAATTATGTCCACCCAGTTTTACCGTGCTCATGTTTGTTTTCAGGATTTAAAAATGTTGGTTTTTGAGCTGCTGGTTTGTTCCTGTTTTGGTGATCTGTCTGTTGTTGGTGTAAAGCACTGTGTGACCTTTTTAACCCTGGAGGAATGAGATCCTCGTCTGAGTCTCAGTGACTCGGACAGAAGTTTTGTGTTTATTGCAGAAACATAACCTTAACCGGAGTTTAACAGCTTTTCATAACTTAAGGTAACGTGATCTAGTCTGAGTCGAGGAGGTGTGGCTTAGTGTCAACATACAACTCTCTGATGTCATGTTGACCTTCAAACCTTCTACTAACTTTATTCTGATGTTTGAAAGTAGGTGTCTTTAGTTTCACACTGCTCATGATACCACGGACAGACGTTCAAACTGCTTTCTTTTTGAGTTAGTAAGATACTTCAACAACAACTCTCCGATATATTACAGCTGAAGCTGTTACTGCAGGATGTTTAATATGATAAAATCAAGTCATCTCAAGTGTTCAAAAATGACCCATATTTATACAATAAGAAACCGTGAAATCAGAACAGCTTAAAAAGGACGAAAACACACAAGATAGTCTGGGAAACGAGGACTCAAACAATGAGCTCAAAGGGCGATATCAAAATGATGTAACCCAAAGCTCATCTTGATTATAATGAAAAGAGGTTGTCTCCTGATACATTAATAAGGGAAAGACAAAGCTGCATCGCTTCCTGCCCGTCTTCTGTGTTACACTCTGGTGAAATGGGTCATTGTCGGCGTGGCGTTTGACCTTGGAGCTGTTGGGTAGAAGAAAACAATGAGAGAAGGAACATCAGTATAAAAGGAAGAGGAGCAGCCTGAGCTCAGCAGCTGTCCTGAAACAGGTGAGTCTACTTTGCTTTTTCTTTGAAAGAGTCAGTAAGGAGCACATTGTCCTTCTTTTTGAACAGATTTCAGAATTTGTCTTCAAGAAAACGAAGCTTTAAGTAAACACAGATATACATGTTACCTCAGATTGTTTCATCTATTGCACACTAAGAATCCACACAAGAGTCCAAACATGACTTCAGGTTGAATATTTTCATGTACAGTATTTGACTCCTGTTCTAAAGCTTCCCCTCCTTCATCAGCATCACTTTGCCATCATGTTGTTGCGGAGTGTGTCTGACCCTCTGCGGCTCCTGACGCTGAGCCAGCCAGTCCCGTTAACTCTCTCTCCACTGCGAGTGGGCCATGAAGCACCACAACAATACAATGGAAATACACGGGAACTTCCTCCCGCGGCAGTGCTGCACATATACAGGCTACTGCTGGTGCGTCAGCATCTACACCGGAGATATGGTATACAACACCAAGGCACTTATTGGGCATTTCCATTACGAGTGTGGTGAGTGTTGTTCCTTACATTCAGATTCATGCTGAAGTGTTTTTCTGCTCGTTTCAGATCTTGAACTAAAATGTTTACACATTATTGACGACTGATTCCCCTCTGAGAGCATATTGTCTGCTCCTTTGGTTTGAAATATATCAGTCTCCATTTCAATGACTCTTCATGTCTAATGAGGGTGGAGACAAAGGACGCTATTGAACCCTACAAGAGCCCCCCTAACGCATGAACTGCTGACACTTTCTAGATCATTTCAGGACATTCAGGACCTGATATTAGCTAGAATTGCCTTTCACATATGTATGTCACAGCAGGAGACAGTCAGTGTCAGATCCGCCCTTACAGTAATAAAAACTTGTTATAGTTTCTGGGGGGGGGGGGGGGGGCGGAGTAGCGCGTCCAGAACGAGTCTTCAATAAATGGAAGCTTGATCCAAAAGGCAGCTGGACTTAGTTGAATATCTTGAAGGTTTCAGAGGAGAGTGGCTTTTGGATCAAGCTTTGATCGACCATGAACTGGACGACTGAGAGCCAACACAGGAAGTCTTCAGTAATGGCTCCAGTTTTTGAGTTTGTATCACAACTTGTATAAAGACATTTGTACATCACAACAACTACAACAGTAGAAAACAATACGGACAACTGAGGTGAGCAGGAAAGAATACAGAGCACAAAATCTCAGGTGAAAAACATTTTAGCCCCTCAGTTGCCTTAAATATCCCGGCTACAAGCTTCTACTTTCACACAGACTTAGAAAACTGTGTTTATGCACGCAGACCATGCAAACATTTACAAAGAAACAACAGACGGAATTTATCAGAAACAACAAACCAATCAGAACATGACAAAGACAAGGGCTAGCACGCTGACACCCTCGTGTGGCCTCCCTGGGTAATGACACCCACAAGGGCCAGGCAAGATGAAGAGCAGAGTTAAAGGACGACATTAATAGATGAATTAGTTAATAAATACATAACACAGACATTGTAAGACGACATTCATAGAGCGTACGTCGAGCCACATTTTTCAGACTTTGAACACACGTCACAGAAACAGACTAATTATATGCACATTTAAAATGAGACAAACAAGCTGAGACACAAAAAAAGAACAAACAACAACAAAAATAAAATGGTGTTTATATTGTTCTAGGCAGCGTTTACTACAGATTGTGATGATCATGTCCTGATCACATGTTGTAATGAGATATACAAAAAGGACGGAACAACGAAACATCATCGTCTCTAGCATCTCTTTTGAATCTCTATTGGGAAGCATCTGAGATACAGACCTCTGCCATTTCCATCCCTGCTTCTTTTTCCCTCTCCCTATATGCAGAGTATTATAGACAACATTCCTGGAGCATTTCATATGGATCACCATGCCCCGGTCTTTATTGTTCTGAAGTTGTACCCCTTTAGTCCAAAACTGAGGGAGGATGGAGAGAATTAAATTATGCTGGCTTTCCTAATCAGCTCCAAATGTTGGAACATATTTGAATTTAAATATTGCTACATTTAAATGATGACTGCTGTTATTTCATGTCTATATTTGCTGCTCAGTCATTTGCATTTATTTTTTTGGTAGGAAAGGAATACTACTGTCCTCTTGGCTGGTCCATGTACGGCGAGAAATGTATCATGGTCATCAATCACGAAAAGACGTGGGCTGAAGCTGAGGTGAGGTCTGATGAAATGTTTACTGCTAATGCGATTAATAACCATAACATGTCCTCCTGTCCTTTCCAGAGTTACTGTCTGTTTGAGGGAGGAAACCTGGCATCGGTCCACAGTGATCTGGAGAACCACTTCATCGAGGCTCTGACCAAAGACAAGAACTACGACTTCCCGGAAACCTGGCTCGGTGGATATGATGCCATACAGGTATAGAAGTTATCCAAATCATTTGTAGTAATAAAAGTTTATATCCTGACAGTTGGAACAAATTGAGACATAAAAATCAGTTTATATCAGACGACCATTATTTGTTTTCTGTCTTTCTATAGACCTGCATGTGGTTCTGGAGTGACGGCACCAAGTTTAATTATGAAAACTGGTTCATGGATTATTATATGGAGAGAAAAGAGCACTGCCTGAAGATGAACTATGGACGTAAATACACCCCCCCCCCCCCAACACAGACTCTTGTGTCCTCCATGTTTAACTTTATAAAAGAAATGAACAGTGCTTTTTCTTATCCCTACTACCGTGTCAGCTGTAGAATCTCTGTCGGTTAAACAAGTAGAGATGAGATCACTAAGATCTTAAAACCATCTTGTTGATTACTTCAGTTATTGTGCTGATAACTAGTGGATGGTTCTTGCCCCATCTTCACAAATAAAACATGTAGAGAGACAAAACAAACAAAAAGAAACACTTTACTTGTGGTCAATTGATACTAATTCATTTTTGGTTACTGACTCCAGAAGAGCTGTGCACAAAAATTGAATCCAAACTCCTCAAATAAAAAAACAGCAAACAGAAAAAGCAATGCCAGATCAACATTTCATATTACTAAATATTACTAAACCTGTGTAAAAACAAACTTCAGAGTGCATGATTTAAACGTTTCTGTTTATTTTCTCATTACAGCTGGGAAGAAATGGCACTTTGGCGCCTGCAACGAGACCCTCCCCTTTGTTTGCGCCAAAAGTAACTGGAAAATGGACATTTTCTAAAGAAACAGACACATCGAGACATTCCTCGGCTACACATACTGGATCCAAAAGTTGGATGTGTGTTTCCTCTACATAATCACTTTCTATAAATGCTTTTTACAACATTCATGCTTTAGATATTTGTTGTGACACCTCTAATTCTCTTTCAGCTGGTATAACTTTTGCCAATTATTTCCCTTATCTTTTGCAATAATTGTAATCATAATGTCTATTAACACATTGCAATTGAAGTGACTCAAAGTAAAGGCTTGTGCTTTTAAGGTTATGTCATGAATTTCTACTTATTTCTACAATGATAATAATGTCATGAAACCCAAAATATGACAACAAAAGACAAGGTGGGGGCAAAAAAAACTACTAAATGTCTTTATGGGGGAGTATGTGACACAGGTGAGTACAGAAAAATCATCAGCAAAGAAATCACTCTTGAGTTAAAAAAAAAAATGGCTGGGTCTGGTGATTTCTATTCTCACCCTGACAATGTGGAGACTTCCATCATTATAATACCATCACTTTGTGGGGACACTAATACATGTAACACATCCCTTATGGAGACATAAGGTATACATATACAAGAAATGAGTACATGACAGCTAAATATAGTTCATTAGCATAGTTTAAAGCCTTAGTTTAAACAACGACTTGGTCAGGTGGTATCAATTATCAACATTACAATGTGTGGACACCAATCTAGATAAAACAATCACTTTTCTATCTTAATTTATTCCCGTGAAATCTTTGAAGACAAGCCCTCATTTAAAATGTTGTCGAGAGTACAATTAAGAAGAATAAATAATCAAAATCTACATAGACAAAAAAACATAGATTACAAGACCAGAAGAAGAAGCCAGCAGAGCAGGCAACATTTCTTGGGGACTATCCGAATCACATACTCACTCTGTGGGGACACTAATACATGCAACACACATTGTGGGGACACTAATTCATGCAACACACATTGTGGGGACACTAATACATGCAACACACATTGTAGGGACACTAATTCATGCGACACACATTGTGGGGACACTAATTCATGCAACACACATTGTGGGGACACTAATACATGCAACACACATTGTGGGGACACTAAGTCATGCAACACACATTGTGGGGACACTAATTCATGCAACACACATTGTGGGGACACTAAGTCATGCAACACACATTGTGGGGACACTAATTCATGCGACACACATTGTGGGGACACTAATTCATGCAACACACATTGTGGGGACACTAATACATGCGACACACATTGTAGGGACACTAATTCATGCGACACACATTGTGGGGACACTAATTCATGCAACACACATTGTGGGGACACTAATACATGCGACACACATTGTGGGGACACTAATACATGCAACACACATTGTGGGGACACTAATTCATGCAACACACATTGTGGGGACACTAATACATGCAACACACATTGTAGGGACACTAATTCATGCAACACACATTGTAGGGACACTAATTCATGCAACACACATTGTAGGGACACTAATTCATGCAACACACATTGTGGGGACACTAATTCATGCAACACACATTGTAGGGACACTAATTCATGCAACACACATTGTAGGGACACTAATTCATGCAACACACATTGTAGGGACACTAATTCATGCGACACATTGTAGGGACACTAATTCATGCGACACACATTGTGGGGACACTAATTCATGCAACACACATTGTGGGGACACTAATACATGCGACACACATTGTGGGGACACTAATACATGCAACACACATTGTGGGGACACTAATTCATGCAACACACATTGTGGGGACACTAATACATGCAACACACATTGTAGGGACACTAATTCATGCAACACACATTGTAGGGACACTAATTCATGCAACACACATTGTAGGGACACTAATTCATGCAACACACATTGTAGGGACACTAATTCATGCAACACACATTGTGGTGACACGACTCTCGACTATATACTGATTTTGTGGGGATACTGAACATATAACATATACCTTGTGGGGACACCAATAAAAAATAAACTCACAGTGGGGGTCATCAGTCTATTTATATTTGAGACTAAATTTTATTACAAATAAAAAATGTGTTGGTTGCACTTTAATGTGTATGAGCACAAAGGTTGACCACACACTTTTTCTTCCTCATTGGCTCTTATCCGTTGCATATTCAGTTGTGTTCTTCCCAGATTCATCACTATTACGTGACCAGTTTTCAGAAGAATGAGTGACTTATTACTCAGGTACAACTGATCTGACTGTCTGAGCCTGTCTGTTGTGTGGTTAAATTCTGCATGTAATAAAAATACTACTTCCTGTATGTGCAGGAAGTGAAACTATAAATCAAAAGCTTCCTGTCTCGTGGCGTTATCAGCCTACATTAAGAGTCACTGTTCTCTGTTGAACCAGTGCTGGTATTATGAGCTTTCTTATTTACCAGCATGAAAATAAACAGTGTTCTTGAATTTTTTTCATGATGAAAGGATAAAGATTATTTCTAAATAGGAGCCAACCCACTTATCTGGACACACAGTTGGGATGTAGCCTCAGGTTAGGGCAGGAGTTCTGGTTCAGCAGCTATTTTTTTGGTTTAGATCAAAATAATTCACATGAATATATCACTTTTTGTACACAGTGTCATGCTAGAGTAACTGTGCGGCTTAAGTTTGTTTGTTGTAGCCTCTGATTTCATAACACAGCACCACATACCCTTTTGGACTCAAACAAAAACCACTTGCACAAGCTTCCCTATTTCCCAACACTGATCTAGTTTCTGCTATGCCCACACATGAAAGATTGGTCTTTGAAGGGACATTTAAGAACACCATGTATAAACACAGAGAAAATATGACTAACAATGATATCTTTAGGGTAAAGTAATGACGAAGTAAGTGAAACCAATCATTCTGGAGGCAGCAGCCTTTGGAACGTTTTTGTAAATATACACAAGATTGTAGAAACATCTAACCCATCACATCTGGTGGGTCAAAACAATAAACATACCAGGTTTTTTAACGGTTATGTGCCCACCCCTGAAATAAAGGACTCCACGTCTCTGGTCATCAGGAGAGAGAAGTCATTCCCAGTTGTAATGCTCGCTCCATGTGACCACATATTCAATTCTGATCATTTGAATCCTTTGGTTATTTTTTATAGCTTGAAGTTGAAGGTCTTTAATATTTATCATATTTATTACAATATTGTAATTAGCCAATAAACTAAGTTTCCTATTCTTTCCATATTCTCCTCCAGGTTGCATTAAATGTACCATGTTCCAGAAACATAGAGTACTGGATCTAAGTGTTCTAAGTCAAAGCTAGGTTAATCAGTAACTTTAATCAACATTAAACAATATTTCTTAAAGATCTATTTTGGAACCAGAAACTTGCAGTCAAGTCTTTGGTCACTTTGTCCTTTTGTCCCGACATGAACTCAACATTTACTTTGACTCAGGTTAGGTAAACTGTTCTGTACTGACCAACTTAAGCAGATCAATAAAACTGGGGGAGGATAACAACTCATCCCTGGACAAGATAAATACCTGGTTCCATCAGACTTCAGGGACAGAAAAGTAGTGAAGGTACACTGAAGACAGCGGAGCACGAGAATTTAAGAAGAGTAACTTTACTAACCGTGAACAATGAGGACGCTGCTGGTGCTGTGTCTGTGCCTATATGTCGCCTGGGCTCAGGATAATCTGGAATACGATGATTATGACATGGTGAGTGTTTGTGAATTCACTTGAAAAAACATTGAGTATGGACCTAAAGATGTCTGGGTATGTATCATACCTAAATAAGTGAAAAAAGTTATTTTAAATTAAAGCATGGCAGAGAGAAAATACAATACAGCTGTTTCCTGTTGTTTCTTACAGGATACCGTAACCTCATCAGGATCAAAAACAAATGTATGTTGAACATATTTTATCTTTTTATTCATAACAAGTTATATTCTTTTTAATATTGTGTGATTCATTTCATTAATAAAGTGTTCTCCTTGTCTTCATGCAGGAGACTGTGGATGCTCGTGGTCATCGTCCAAATACTGGCAACAGGGACAGATACAACGCTCCTCGCAATAATCCTCCACCTGTCAGCGGCAGTAGCAGGTACATTCACAACCAACCTCAAAAGAATGACAATAAAATTTATGCCGTCCATATGCCATAATCATAGTTATGGCATTGTTAAATTAGCAATACCTAAAAAGACCACACTCTTACAAAAATAAAAGTCTTTAACGAATTAAACTTCTGAGTGATTTGGGAATAATTGATTCATCTTATCTTGTCAAATCAAAATATTCAAGAGCCCAAAGTGATATTTTCAAAACCAACGGCTCTTAATTTATTGTCTTGCTTGGCAAATGCATGCAGCAAAACCTCAAACCTAAATAATTTCAGAATATAAACTTATCTTTGCTTTTCATTCAGGTATCGTGGCCGGCCCACCACCACTTCAGTCGAACGTTCAGTGGTGCAGGAGAAGAAGGAGCAGCCTGAGGCCGGAGGATGCACCCACCCTTCGGAGGAGCTGGTAGGAGAACACCAGGACATGTCCCCTGCAGGAGTCAACTGCTGATTTTAAATGAAACTGAAGTAAAGTCTTAAGTGTGTGAGCTTGGAATCTGGAGCAGCATCTTGTTGGCCAGTTGATTTCTGTATGTAAAGAATCAAAAGGGAGAGCCCTGAGATGGTCATTGCTAACATAAAGTACAGGGAATATTTGGCTGAAGCAATTGAAATCATTAGTATGTTATGATCAAAAAGCAAATACAAACCTGTATTTTGGGATGTACACTAAAAACACTTTTTATTCATCTTAATCACTAAACACAAGTTTTCTTGTCCACAGGGAGTTTTATGTCCCAATGGCTGTGAGCTGAAGACCATGCTGCTGAAGCAAGAGAAGAATGTCAAAACGGTACATGACACTTACTCAAAAAACTTTGAGTTGATTTCTTGTTTCAACTTTTTTTAGGATAAAAAGCTTAGTTTGAACCCAAACGTTTGATCCAATGTTTCTATTGAGGAAACATTGGGATTGACTTCTTTCACATATTCCCCACAGAGCATAAATGAGCTAAAGCCTCAGGTGGATGATTTGTCCCAGTCCTCCAATAACGTCTTCAACTATGTCAACAGCATTTCCAATACTCTAAGAGAGAGGCAGATAGTCATCAATGGTGAGTAGGACCTGATATAGGTGTCATAAAATAAAATGCTATTCCAAAAGTATAGGTTACTTATGCTAAAACTATGATGGAAAATCTGTCAGCCAAGGACAATTGTTGTCCATAATAAAACAAGTTTTTAAATAAGCACACAATACCGTCTTCTGTAAAGTGATTTCTCTTGGAAATGTTTAAAATATTCTTGTGTGCACCTAATCCCCCGTCTTTTCCTCTGCCCCTCCGTATCCTTCAGATAACAACAGGGTGGTCAGTCAGTACACCGATAGCGTGGAGGAACAACATGTCTACATCAAAGAGACAGTCGACACTGTCTTCCCTTCCAACATCAGAGTGCTACAGGTAAAATCAGAGCAGACACAAGTCAAGACATTTGGTCAATTAAAAGTAATTTAAGATAGCAGTTATACTTAATCCCAGCGACAACCAAACCTTCAAAATCTTCCATTGTTTTTGTAAGTGAAGCATCCACTTTAAAAAAGTGCTATTGTGATTAAACCAACTGTAAAAAAAAACCTCAAACAAGAAATGTAATCAGCATACAAACACAACCAATGCATTTCTTGGTACTTGGAAGTAATGCTTAATGTACTATTGCTGCAGGGGGTCCTGGACAAGATCAGGCTGAAAATCCAGAAGCTAGAGAAGGCCATCCAGGCCCAGAGGGAGGAGTGCAAGGAACCATGCAAGACCACATGTCCCATACCAGTGGTGTCTGGTAAGCACTGTGCCCCCTACAGGCTAAAACGTTTAGTATACCCCAAAACCCCTGACTGAGAATCGGTTTTAAAGATGAAACTTTGGAAAGGTAACAGATGGGGGTCACTAAATAGGAACATTTGTCCTAAGTGAAACATGACTACAAACATTCCCTTGAGGTTTGGTGTGTCCTCATGGGTTAAGGGTAACCCCTACACATACAAAAGATTTTCTGTGTTTAATTGTTCCTTTGTGTGATTCAGGTAAGGAGTGTGAGGACGTCTTCCGTCGTGGAGGAAGAGACTCCCAGATGTACCTGATCCAGCCCGACGCCTTCTACCCTGCATACAAGGTCTTCTGTGATCAGACCACCCAGAATGGAGGTGATAATAACTCAGGGCGCCTACAACATTGAAATTACATGTTTTCTTTTAATTATCTTTGATGTTCAGGCCTTTTGCAGAAGTCAGCCATTTTAAAGACATTGTGTTTTTTGTCCAGGATGGCTTCTCATCCAGAACCGGCTTGATGGAAGCGTTGAGTTTGGCCGCCGCTGGGATGAGTATCGACGTGGTTTTGGCAACATTGCCTTGGATAGTGGCAAGGGTCACTGCGAGACTCCCGGTAAGACTTTCAAAATATACTAGAAGAGAAAAGGGGCCATGTTGAAGGAAGCTGGCCTTTGGCACATTGGGTATAAATAATTTTATGAGCATTCTTCCCTTCATTTTGGTGACATATATTCACATAATTCCACGTATTAGTTTGCCTAGCAAACCTTTCCTCTTTGCCTTTTGACAGGTGAATACTGGCTGGGTAATGACCGGATTAGTCAGGTGACGAAAATGGGCCCCACTGAGGTTCTCATTGAGATGCAGGACTGGACAGGAGCCAAGGTAAGTCCATGGGATTTCTCTGTTTAACAATAAACTAAACTATTGTGATTTTGATCATCCGTTTTGTTGTTGTTTTATTGTTTTTTCTGTGGTGGGATTCTGGTGTGAATGGGTGAATGTGACGTAATAATAATAATTGGATTTATAAGGAAGCTTTACAAAGTGGAGGGACCAACTGAAGAACCAATCAAAAACAAAACTGAGACATTAGTTGTGTAAAAGGCAGCTCTGAGTAATTACAAGTGCCTGTTTCACAAATGTTCATATTTCCTGGTCAGTTCAGTTTACAGGGATAAACTACTCTTCATGCCCTGTGCAGTAGTTAAGTGAAAATCTTTCAAATAGTAAAACAAAGTCGGCCCTGTTTTTAATTCAGCCCCTCTTTAAGGTTTTTAAGTCAGACAAAAATAGGAGAAAAACAGGGTTTCATAAATGGCAAACATTGATATTTCATGTATAGGCCTACCAACAAGAGTTTTCATATTCTGTATGTCTTAGTTTGGATTAACACTCGAATGGTTTCTGGTGTCATTTAGGTCCACGCCCAGTATCAACAGTTCACAGTTCAATCAGAGACGTCCAACTACATCCTGGCAGTTGATGGTTACACTGGTAACGCTGGCAACTGTTTCCTGGAAGGATCCGTGGAGCTCTTTGGTGAAAACCGCACCATGACCATTCACAACGGCATGATGTTCAGCACCTACGACAGGGACAACGACAACTGGTAGGCGTCCTGTTTGTACTGAATTTCATAGAAACACCATGTGACAGAAAAAACATTTTGTAATTCAGTGGACCAACATGTTCTCCAAACCCACGGACAAATCCTGAAACTGAATCCATAAAACCCTTCCCTAAACAGGCTAGCTTAACCAAATCACAAGACAAAAGACCTCAAAAACACTTCAATGAACTTGAAAGATTATGTTAGCATTAGCTTTAGCAACACTGAGTCACCAAAACCAAAATTTAAACATTTTTCTCTTTCCCTATCCCCTACCAAAGGAACCCCGGCAATCCCTCCAAACAGTGCTCCAAGGAAGACGGAGGTGGATGGTGGTACAACCGCTGTCACTCAGCCAATCCCAATGGCCGATACTACATGGGCGGGTCCTACACAGCTCAAATGGCCAAGCATGGCACAGATGATGGCGTGGTGTGGATGAACTGGAAGGGAAGCTGGTATTCGCTCAAGGCCATCAGCATGAAGATCCGACCTTTCTTTGTCCCACAATAATCGTGCTGTGATCACACGTGCATATAACACACAGGAAGCTGCCAAAATAAAAGACACCTGAGTGTTAATATTGAATGAACATTTTAGTGTGTCCTTTGTTTAAGCTGTAACCTTGAAGTAGATGGACACACATTTACACACAGTCAGGACGTGTGAAAGTACAAACACAGTTTCAGATGAAAGCTTAAAGGCTTTTCACACTTAAGGAAGAGAAGTAGAAGAGATATTTTTGAAATAAAAAGGTCTGACTGGTTGTGTGTGAATGTTCTGTGATCTGTTATATGTCATGTCTTCAGTGTGCACTACTAGGACAAGTTGATTCCAGCTGTCCTCCGCTACTCAATAAACATGTTGAGGAATATAAAACCTGTTGTCTCTGCTCGTTATTTCACTACAAACATCATCGAAAAAACAAAATAATCTGGTAATTTATCATCGTAGTTATAATTAATTAATCTGAAATCATGAATTTAAAGCTTTTTCAAATCAAATGGTTTCAGGATTTTCAAGAACTCCATGAGGAACTGTTGGATAAGAAATCAGAGCCAGTAGAAATATTGAAATTTGAAAACCTTTATTTTATTGGTTTATATACAATAACAAACAACAGAGAGAAATGTGGGTGTGATATAAAGTGAGTGGAAAGATGGAGATGTTATAAATAAATACAGCAGGAGAGAAAGGAGTGTGCGTTATTGGTTTACATATTTCTAATCTGAAACAGCCGTCATCATATATGATCAAGTCATTAAGATTAAAGACCTTGATTCATAAATAGTTTAAGGGTAAACAGACAAATACAATCATCACACACTAAGACAGATAAACAGTCAGAGAGCGTGACATTAAAAACAGTTTCAGTAAGAACCTAAAAAAGCGTTTTCCAAGACTACTCGAAATTTATCTTGAGAAAAAGATTGAGACAGAGAATTTGAAATAAAACGTGTTTTTGTAATTATCTTATTGTTTTGATCTTTTTAAATCACACTGATTTCTAATCTTTAAATATCTTGTTATCTTGTATATTGTTCCGGTCTTAAACATTTTGTCACAACAATCTCATTGAAATTGTCGTAATGCAGCTGGACACTTCAAATGTTCAACTCTAAGAAAGCCTGTTTGTTCAAACAGAAATACAAATGTGGTTTCTATCCAAACCAAACATTGAACTGAAAAGTCCCACAAAACCCCCAGAAGCCATCATGTCTGTATGGGTCTGAGGTCAGATATGTCTTCCTCTTGGTCTTGGTCCTTCAGTTGAACTCTTCATTCCAGCTCTGAAGGAGTGTCAACGTCCACAGCTGTAGACTCCTCCAGCAGCTGCTCCAGAAGAATCTGGTTCTGTCCAATGTCCTCAAACTGGGTGAGCAGTTCTCTTTGGACTGTGGGTATGCTCTTATACTCTCCTGATGAAACTTGGCCCACATCTACAGGCTGCAGTTTGACATGTGGAAGGTCCTGAGGAGGTATGGCTGCTTTCCTTTTCTGGTGGAAAGCCATTTGTTCCATGTCAGCTTGAAGCATTTCATAACTATGATGACTAACACTGAATGGTACGACCACATGGCAGGACCCCTGGCAGGCTCGGAGCGTCATGTCAATGTCAACCTGGTGATGAAGACCAAACAACATGTCTGAATTATTCAGCAGACACAGAAAAACATTTGAGTCTCTGGAATGTAAAGTCAATACTAACTCATCTTCAGGTCTAGCTTTGGTCTCCAGCAGCTCCTGAACTAAAGTCTCACCTTGTAGCAGCTAAATACTAAACTGTTCACACAGGTTGCTGCTACTATTTGGTGATGAAGGAAGTGTCTCACACCTTGCACAACAGCTCACCTCTGTTTGGTACATCTCATCGAGTTGTTCCTTGACTTTGTGGTTCAGCTCCTCCAGTTGCTTCGACAGCCTTGAAGATTTTTTCAGCAGCAAGGAGAAGTTTCTGGCTAATTCTTCGGTGTGTTCGACAAACTTCAGTTCTGACACTGGAGATGAAAACAATGAGTCATCGTTACTTTAGTATTCTGTCTTTGTTCACTTGTTTAAGACAGTAACTGAGCATTCACATGAACATCAACATGTCAGGGTGCTGGTCTGGCTTTAAGGCCTTGTTGAGGGCCTCACACTCTTACTGTGTTTGTTGATGATGACTCTCCGGTTGTGGCTGTAGATGTGTGTCATCGCCTTCATGGACTTCTCAGCTACATCCTCATACATCTTTGCTGTCTTGCACACCGTCCTCAGCTTTCTCTCCACCTGGCTCTCCATCTGCGAGATAAAAGCCTGGAGTCTGCAGCCGGAGGGGCATTTGGAAACCTTTGATCACAAGGAGAAGAATACCTCTGGACTAGATGTTCAGAAAAAAAAGGCCGTGGATGAGACTTGAACATCTAAGGAATCTATTGTCACGTAATGTGTAGAAATAAGTTGGTTTCCTGTTTGAAATGAGAAGTGCAGCTGTATGTTTCATACCCAGTCGTCGTCTGAGCACATGGGGACCTTTGATTTCCCCCGACAGCGTCGCCTATCGTAGGTCATGGCGTGAACGGGGGGCCGTCGAGCATCTGGACTCTGCTGCCTCAGCTTCATGCACACTGCAGACAAACAGAAGAAGAACAGGACATTCCTCTTTTAACCTTCAACAGAGCTCCAAATCAAACATGAGCATCCAAAGATCAGAGATGTTTGTCAGCTGTGTTGTAAGAGTTTGACAAACAAAGGATGGTCTGATCAAAGTCAACACGTGTCGCTGACCTCCACAGCTCTTTGTTTTTAGTCATTTTGTTATATTGATTCACTGAAAGACACTTTGTGGCTGTATCTCAGTCTGTACAGACTTGGATTGGGGTGGAAGGGTCGTCGGTTCAGCTCCCGGTGCGGACCAAAGTGGAAGTTGTCCTGGTAGCTGAGTACTGCCGAGGCACCGCTGAGCAAGGGACAAAACCCTTAACAGCTCTGGTGCTCTCCCTGCATAGCAACCCCCATACTCTGACATCTTTCCACTGATGTCCACAGCTCCTGTTTGTGTGTTTCAGATGAAGCATGTCTCCCAATAACAGAGTGAAAACCTGCTGATTACAAACACCATCTAAATCTTCAATATATCACACGGATACAAACATCATTCAGAAATGAAATGATCATTAAATATCTTTATTTTGATCTCCATTAGTTTACACGTTTGTAAAAGAAATAATAAGAATGATAAAATATAGACATGGTGTTAAACCTTCGCTCCAATCAGGAGCCCCCTCTGTTCTCATTGGTTTGTTTTCAGGTTTCTCTTGATCAACTCAAAGAAGACAAAAACAGTAGCTGAAGTGAACATTCAATCTTTATTGATTTGTCAGAGTCAAATACATTTCTCCACTGTGGAAACACTGGTTAGTTATTTCTTACAAGAGGTCGATAACATTTACAAAAAGACAGACACACTGACACCGTTAGGAAGTCTCAGAATGATTAACAGACAGAGAAACAGTCTAAAGGTCTCAATCTAACCTTGGGGGGGGTTTTGGCCTCAAATATTTAACTGCTGAGTTCAAGTCTTATTTCCTGCTGTTCCATTTTTTTCATGCTGTTGCTTTTTTTGACAATTAAATGACAAAAAATGAAATTAGTTTTTTTTCTGATCTTATTTTCCTCTAACTCTGTTTAAAACGCAGTCGATCGAATAAACATCCGGACACTTTTCAGGCTGTAATTGAGAGTTTTATACGTCCCCCAAACGACTCCATTTGAAACCTCATACGGCGTGTTCTCCGGTTCGTACCTTCCTTTGTAATAAATACCATTCAAGTTAGCCGACTGGCAGTTGTTGTACCACCACCCACCACCGTACGTCTCTGCACAGTTCTTCTGCCACTTGTCATTGTCTTTGTCAAACGTGCTAAACTTCATCCCGCTGTGGGGCGGTTGAGACGTTGCCAGAGCGTCACCTGCATCCCCAGTGTACCCGGACACATACAGAGGGTACCCCTCCCTCTGAGCCCACCCTCACTGTGTACTCAGCACTGGCAGCGCCCCCTTCCCAATCCTCCAACTCCACCTTCATCATGGTCTCACCCTGATTTGTCAACAGGTGGAGGTTTTGGTTGCCTAGCCAAAACTCCCCCTTACCCCTAGCATCAACTGAACCAAACCCACTGTTGTATTCGGCCCAAGTGCGATTGAAAGTGAGCGCGCCACTCTCCCTTTGCTGGACTAACAACCACCCTCCCATTAACCCCTCCTGCTGGCAGTAAACCTCCACTACCTTTGTGGAGTCTGTGCCGCCAGGCTTGATCTTAAACAGGCCGTTCGTTTCCCCTTTCAGGTGGTTCTGGTAGGCTTCGACGCAATCTGTGAACAAAGAGGGGCACACCGCAGACCGCGAGTTAGTTTGGACCGGTTCGGCTTCCTGAAATTTACTGCAGTGATAACAGCTCTAACAGCATGTTGGCTAACACCTGCACCAAAAACCCAATTTTCCAACCCATTCTTATCGATCTGCATTTGAAGCATCATCAGAATGTTTCACAACAAAGACTTAATTTCCCCAGTAAGAAGTGCTATGAGTCATTTTCATCGACACTTGATTCAACCTACGCTTCAAAAGGTTCTTTAGTTTAATTTGATTCCTTTTCTTAGATTACACAGTGACTCAAAGAACATCAAAATGACTGACTTCAGTAAAACAACAGAATCTAAAATAACATTATTTATTTGTTCACTTCTTTTTTTTGTACATAAGGCTAGCTAATGAGCTAGCTAATGCTAAAGCTATGCTGTCTAGCTGAATGCACCATTCTAGCCTTAGAGATGTTACTCCTGTTCTGATGTTTTGGTACCTTGTCCTATATAATCAGCTTGGCGCTCGACACGGGTGTTCTTCACACTCCGAGCTTGAAAATCAGGGACGTCCTCTTCTCCATTGCCCATCATGAACCCGCCCAAATCAAACCCCGCCATGTCAAACGTATTCCCATGTGATCCTTTGGAATCTCCCATGATGCTGCCCTTGGCACCACCAGACTGGAAGTTGCTGGTTGACGAGGAGGAGGAGGAGGAGGAGGAGGAGGAGGAGGAGGAGGAGGATGATGGTTGGCTGAAACCTGGAAAGAGGGAGTCCATCCCTCCATCACTCAGGTCTGCCATTGACTGGCACTCTGGCCCTCCCTCCATCACATGCTCCACCCTTTCCACTGGGCCGTCCTTTGTGTGGACAACAGTGGTCTTGGTTCGCCTGGTGCATGTGATGGTTGAGCTGGATGTGGATGTGTGACTTGTGCTTGGATAGCTGCCACCTACACCAAATAAATCAACTCCAAACTCAGTGGTGGATTTAGCTGATGTGGATGAGGAGGCCGATGATGAGGATGTAGATGGAGAGAGGGAAGTACCTGAGACTTTTGAGATGGTTGCTGGGGATGTGCTGGAGCCTTCCTGCGATAGGATCAACTGGACTGCCTGCACCTGAGAAAGAAAAACAAGATGTTAAATTGGTTTGTCTTTAGTGAGCGAAATCATTGGTGGGTTTTTTTGTTTTCTTTCACTGTACCATCATCAGATAAAGTCTGTGAGATTTTTTGGATGTGCAGAGAAATTGGAGAGCTAGCTTTCCGTTAGCTACGTGTTGTGTTGATGTGGGACTTGAAGGCTGTGACTCTCGGGGGAGTTGTGTGCAAACACCATACCTGTATGACTACGCAAACCTTTTGATGGGACTTTTAGTGTTAAAGGTGTCAAACCCAGAAAAATGCCCCTCACCTCAGGGAACAGGTTTTCTTTCTGCTGCCCGGCAACATCCTTGGACTTGTAGATGCTGTCCACTAAGACGTCCTGCAGTGGCTTGCTCTTCATCACGTACAGCGTCCCAACAGACTCCTTAGGTGTCTGGTTGTCCAACTGGTTGACCTGGAAAAACATTAAAAGGAAAAAGTTGGTTCTGCTCTAGGTCCTTGACAATCTTTATCAACCAGGTATGGAATAGTAAACGCAAAAAACAAATTGTTAAAGCAACACTCTGTAACTCCTCCTCCTTCAGTCGTTCCGATCTAACAGAACAATAACCTCCAACAGGGAGAATGGCGTCTCTCTCAGAGCGCCCGCTCGCCTGTTTTTAGCACTATGTAACTTTGTCAGCGGGTTGAGGTCATCTGGTGAGAAGTGCATACGTCTTCACGGCTCTAGTTCTACAACAGTTCCTTGCTTTGAACTTTCCTTACTTTACACTTTGTGTCTGTCATCAGGTATCAGCTGGTGGTTATAGCTGACAACAATCAGAAATGTTTCACCTGCTGTCGTCTGTAGCTGCAAACTTAAACTCTGTTACAGAGCACTGTGTTTGGTTACTGGATGTAACTACAGTTCTATGAGAATGTCTGAGACCTCTAACCAGCTTTGCTGTTGGTTGTTCTCCTTGGGGAAACACTGAATGCTTTCTACTTTTTCTAAGGTTTCTAAGGTTACTTTTTTAACACAGGAAGAGAATCTGGACGTAGGTTCCCTTCAGTCTAAAGTTCATGTCCATTAGTTTCTTACCTGCTTTTCCAGAGCCTCGTAGCTCTCCTTGTCCACCTGGTACTCAGAGTAGCCTGCACAGGATCCTTTGCAGGAACGGAGCTTAATATCAATGTCCACCTAACAGACAGGACGAAGAGTTGGAAATAGGTGGAATAGATTAATGTGCGTTTATTCACCAACTGGACAAAAGATCTGAACGTAAGCAGAAGTGGAGAAAGTCATGAAATCTATTGTTGACCTGAGCCTGACACTGAACAAACATCTGGGAAACATGGAACCAATCACAGTGTGGCCAGATGAAGAGGGCCACATCGGGGGGACCCAGATGAAGAGGGCCACATCGGGGGGACCCAGATAAAGAGGGCCACATCGGGGGTGCCCAGATAATGAGGGCCACACCGGGGGGACCCTGGCAAACTTTAGCTAAACTCAGAGGCGCTGCTCAACAGACAAGCAGGCAACCGCTCAGGGCCCTGGACCAGTAGCCCCCTGAGGGCTCACAAACTTAAACCAAAGCAGTGGCTCAAAATGTGCACAGTGGGAAACCTCCCTAAAGGGGCCCCATCTGAAAGCACTCTCTCTTGTTGTTAATGAGTTAGTTTGATTTTCTAACTGTGGTATAAACCTCTTAGCCCCCCTTGCTGATATGACTTTGTGAAGTGCTGTGCCTCCGTACCTCCAGCCGCTGCATCTCCACCACCTGGTCTTTGACGCGGTCTTTCAGGGCGGCCAGGATACTCAGCTGTCTGTCGATCTTGATCTTCATGTCTGTGATTCTCTGACGCAGACTCTGGGCCAGGTTGTAGTAGTTGTTATCGTTACCTGGTGGAAAACAGGAAGGAGGTTTTATCTGATGTTGACACCTTCTTGATTTAGAAACATGTCAAAGAATCCACAACAGAAGCTTCATTTGATATACTCCATGAACATTGATTTGTAAATGTCAGCAGAGTCCAACTGAAACATTTGAGATGGTTAAACTAACCGGAGTCGATGATAAGCTTGTCCTTCAGGTAGTCATAGGTCTGTTTGGACGCCGTGTCTGCAGAACGGTGTTTGGCCTTGTTTTGTTCCAGGAGGCTGC